GTTCCCCGCCTCTTGCTAACGCGTATGATAAGGATGATGTGTCGCCAAGCAATCACACATACACACTTTAAATATCCACATCGCACTCATCTGGATATGCAGTGTCATCTACATGTGATTCAACTTGAGATACTTTTCGCTATTAAAGTGGTGACACAAGACACACACAATGGGGATTTTCCGCCAACGACATGCGTAATTCAGATGTTCCATGAGGGGCCACCTTAGTATGTTAGGCGCTTGTAGAAAAATGGATGTATTGAATCTAACGAAGGCCATAACAATTGAGTAATGTTTTGGATGACCCTTTCGTCGAAGCCGTGGTCCGCTCGGAACGATAATCGCTATCGCAACTCATAGTCCACAGTTCTCTTCTGGAAAGAAAACCAAAGTTTTCCTTGCCAATGTACGTGCAATTGCCCAACACTAGTATTGGAGCACGTGAAGCCGAAGCGAATTTAGAGCTGACCACATATGAGACCAGTAAACATCAACTTTCAGGAACGGACAGTAAGCAATTGTTTCCATGGCCCATCAGATCGTGGTCGCATCACCGGACATTGTGGTAAGAACAAGATTAGTTTTGTGATATCTTACACACACAGTGGATAGGCATGGCGCCTGTAATGAGAATGCTCACTGTGCTGAGGTAAAAATGCATTGGACTGGGTGCACCTAATATTCTCGGATACAAGATAGAGTAGGAATCCCATTAGGCATATCAGTAGATTATTGATGATTCCGAATTTATTACCCTTGTTAATAAAATAGTGGCAAGACTGAAACTGCGCACTCAGTTTCGGTTCCGTCACAGACATAATCCCTTCAGCTAGCACAAACTGTTGTCGAGCGAGCCATGAGAATTTCTCATTTCTCAAGCAATCCATTCCTTACGAGTTCGAAAAAAACATAAAAAGCTTATGCTGTCTGTAATGTCCGACGGTCTTCTGTCGTCACCCGCGATCAAGTGCTAGGAACTGATAATTAGTGGCACAAGCTGCTAGTATCAACAGGTCACGGATTCGGTTCCTGCTGGTGTCAGTAGATGCGCACAAATGACGAACACCAGTCAGACGAACCCATCACCTGGTGCCCCCTAGAATGTGTGGTGGGCCAGCTGATGTGGAAATAGCACGAGCAATTCTTTAATACATTTGATGAGTCCAGTCAAGAGTTTGGGATGCATAAGTATTCAAGGTTCGTCGGTTCGTAGAATAGAGTGCTGAACGTAACAAATGTAATGGGTCAGGGTGGACATTCTGGCCATTGCGACTAGCAATTCCTCGTCAGGGCAAAAGAAAATTGCTAGAGCTGGTTTTTATCCAGTTCGTCGAAACTCAGAAAGCTGCCTAATTAAAAGTAGTAAACTGGCGGTTAACTTTACCGTTCGGTACGAGTATCTAGGGCTTCTAGTTCAGGTAAGTCGTGATATCAGTTTATAGGACTGTTAGAACTCTCCAAGTGTTGAAAGCCGGAAAAGAACGTTAATCTGAGGTAAAAAGAAGAACAATAGTTGCCGGTAAAATTGTTGAGCTTTAAACGATATTTTGCTTGTGTCTGTGTAACAACACATAATGATACCGCCTTTTGGTTTTCATTAGTTATTACACTGAAGGGAACTACCTTCTGATGAGATTTTGCTGTGGATGCGCACGACCATGGGGCAATGTAACGTCTGCCACGGCGAGTTCCTGAGATAATGACATCTGACGAACTTGTGGCACGGATGCTTATTTCGAAAACTCAGTGTAATAGAGTGAAAACACACAACCTGAAAAACAATACTGGATATTAGAAGGTGAATACAGATAATTTGCCCTTACGACGTTTCGCCGTTTCTGTACAAAACAATGTTTCCGACACATTAATTAAATTGTGTTACTATGCATATTAGTTAACCCGAGAACATGGGATTAGTGAATGTCGTGTGGAACCATCACTTTACACTGATCGATATAACAATTTCTGTTTAACTGGAGCGGATGTCAGTCGCTGGAAATGTGATAGTTCTTCTTATTCCAAGATGGCATTCACATGTATTTTGGATGGTATGTAAGACGACGGGTGGGTAATTAAAAAAAAGCAGCTAGGTTGTCTCCTCGTATAATCACAAGGACTTTGTTGCAAGTTATACTTTTGTTACAAAACAAACCTATTTGGGATCATCTCCTTGCATTGTATCCATGTAACGCTTTTCATTAGGGTTTTGGCAACTAAGTCGTTTTTTAATTTTTCAAACATTTAATCGTTTACAAAATGATTTCTCATGGCAAGGGGAAATCAGTTCCTGAATAACAACGGAATACAGCACATTAAGTCTGCGCCGTACCATCCCGCGTCGAATGGAATGACAGAACGTGCAGTCTAGACTGTTAAGCAAGGTCTTCTCAAGCAGACGCATGGAACGCTATAAACTAAGTTGGATCATGTCCTGTTCTCGTACCGCACGACACCGACTGAGTCAACGGGGAAATCACCCACAGAATTAATGTATGGCCGGCCACTACGAACGAGCGTGCACCTACGGTTTCCGCACCCTCTAAGGAGAATGGAGGAAAAGCAGGAGAAAATGAGTCTACATGAGAAGACGCCAGAGGAAATGTCTTAATGATTTTGAGCCGGTATACACAAGACTACCTCATGAAACAAGCTGACAACGTGCCACACTCATGTCCTAAACGATTAACCAAGCGAACCTAAAGCTGGAGGACCGCCAAGGGTGGCGTCGCTCTCTGGACTATAGCTGGCCAAGCTTAAAGGAACCACAGGAGCGGGATCAAAGATCGATTGCTACTGACCCAGTAACGGAAGGAGAATCTGTTTCATAAAACCAGGGACCACAAACGGATCCGGTAAAAGCAGCATTAAGAGGCTCAACACGCACGCCTAAGCCAATTTATCGGTCTCACCTCCGAGTCTGCAGTCCTGACAAGGGAAGAGAGGCGTGTCACATATGCACTTGAGTACTGATTCGTAAACCCAGGCACTCACATGATTTCTTGAGAATGATTTCGCCTTACTTTCCTTATTTCATTGGTATTCTTTTCCGGCTTTTCTAGCCACTGTAACGCAGGATGCTTCTAGTAAATCGGTTACATACTACGTGTGCACTTTCTGTTTTGTTTATCGGCTAGGGACCATACTAAACACACCCGCTTTAAAAAGTTACATATCTGGCTGGCCGCTGCCACAACTGTCGCATGGGACGGAGTTCTTTCACAACAACCACATATAACAGGTTGTTGAGTTTATCGTGTTAATCTAATCATAGTAATCCATTTCAGCCATTCCGACAGCGTTGTTGTCGACAGAAGCGGAGATATAAATCTGAGAGCTAGACACGAAGAAGAAGATCTACTAGGCACCTGCGGCATGAAATCATTCGTGAAACCATTTGGCAACTTAGCAGCAGTAACCACGGTTGGTGCTTGGCTTAGCCTTTGGTTTTTTCAATGGTTGCTTCGAATCCCATGATAACTTTGAATGCTGGGTGGAAGAATAAACAAAAACTGTCTTGGTTTTAAGTATACTCGTCAGTGTACGGATAAGCAAACCTGAGAATAAAAGTTTAGACCTCATCTTCGCCGACTTACACCTTACTCATGAGTAAGGTTTAAGACTGGCCAGCAATGAGTTGGAAGACATTTGTGCACCCGGAGTTCCGCACTGGCGTAACCTACAAATTATTTCACAGTGTGAGCACGATCCTCCCCAATGTTCCTAACAAATGTACTTAAGGGGAGTGATATCACTTGTGTTGCTTGGAGAGCATGAAGTTGGGGATAAAACCCTAAATGGCCATACGACCGCGCCGAGTTGGTCTCTATAAGGTGGTTGCTGTACACTTGAGTGTGACAAGAAGAAGACTGCTGTAAGATTCGCCACAACCTTAGCGTATTACTTTGCCAGCAAGCAATCCGCGCAAATACGAATCACCAGGTAATGTCAGTGGACCAAAGAGTATAACAATGCCGGAAGTGCTCAGAGTATCAGCGGTTTACCAACTAACATGGAAAGGGTGAGGTAACTCAGTAGATCTAAGACTGTACAGAGTAGACAATGAAACTAGGTACACTGCAAATGAGAAAGTCTATGTTACATGTTTAGTATGAAGCTACATGGAGGAGCATCTAGTCTTCGGGGGGCTACTCGAAGGCAAACGTTTCCAGCACAACAAGCTTTTGGTTGTGAAGCAAAACAGCGTTCTATTAGCAACTACAGACATATCTATTCAACAAGGCAACCAAAAACACCAATATATTCGCGAGTTACCTTCGATATGGATAATAGTTGCACATAACGGAAAAGTCAAATTATTTACAGCGGAACTGATAATGAGTAGCTTCTTACTGTTCAATACTTACAGGGCTGAACTATGTGGTAGTCACTTAAAAGAAGCCAGCCACTTGAGCTTTGATAGGTCTCATTAAGGATGCTTTTGATTTTAGCCTACATAAATCATTCCAAATTTCATCCGTAAATGTATATCTTTTTAGCTTTAGACGCCAAATGCTATCGTTAAATAATGGCTTCCTTAGACATGAGGAAAATGGTACCAATGGTCATGGTCGAATATTTACTAGGTACGGAATTTGGGGGAGCACATCAAAATTTTGGCTATCAAACTACCGTGGACTCCATTGACTTCATCTGAAATGCGACCAGTAATATTATTGCCATACCATAGTTTCTACTGGACAATTACTGGATGGCGAGCTACCCCACTTGGTTAATTGCATGATGCGGATGTGCACTCAACTGGATTCCCATAAGGATGCATCATGCTTTGTGCTGCTGTGCCTACCTATGTGAACAATCAGCAGCGGGAACTGCAAACAGACCCACTTTAGCCACCGGCTCCTTGTCAAATATTCATGGCTCTGGACGGTTAATTTTTGAATGACTAGTGATCCAAGCGGAATGCTTCCTTAAGATTAATTTTCCACCGTGGTAATTACAGTTTGACTCCTGTTAATGTTCAGTACTCATTATACAAGTCGTGTTTGACAACTGTTATTATGCAAAGGTATCAAACTTGTGAGTACAGAACAATACAAATAGGGCCTTCCACAATATTCATGTTAGTTTACGATGACATGAAATAGAAAAACAGGAGGAGCTTTTCCATCGCGTATTAGCTCGTGTTCTCGAGGGCGATAAGAAAACAATATGTACATGCTAGGCGGCTCAAAACGACATTAACAATCTAAAATTTTGTTTCATCACAGTTCTTCGTGCGCTTTTTCTTCACTGTCCGTATCTTCTAATTCCTCCAAAACTGAACAAAAGGATAATACCAGACATTTATGCGTGCAACTTACACATATCGAGCATAGTGCGAACAAGATGCACCCCATTCCTGACAGTGTTCTTTATCGATGGTGAGGTGCTAACTTTCAGAAGCTTTCTAGCCCAATCTCCAAGATTGTCACCTAAGTCTTGTAGAAGTTCGGACTGAATGACAGTAATGAGACACGAAACAATTGGTAAACTTACTAAGTCGTCGTCATTCGCCTCACTTGGAGGATTTTCCGTGGAATCAGATTGAATATGTGATATTGTTAGTAAAACGATCAAAGAGAGCAGTAAAGCAGAAAAATTCATGGCTCGATCCAAGTAGAGCAGCATTGATTGGAGATGAAATAATTTGATTCCAGCAAGCGTAGTTGTCGCTCACCAGGCGAAGATTAATCGCCACATTTGGTAGAACAGGTGAATCTGTGCTACATTATCCGTTGACTGGTCACCGGTTTGATTGTCTAGGTCGCCACACGGAGTTGATAACATAAACAATTGTTTGTATTGGTGTTTTGATGTGTGTGTGTGTGTGTGTGTTTGATCACTTCAAAACTGTCCTCCTCTTCAATCGGTTTTGCGTTGTTCGTCGTGCACTAACAAACCGTTAAGCATCGCAGGTCACGCGAGCGAAGGCCTTACTAGCATCGTTGACCATGTAACGTCCAATCCTATGGCAGCACGCAGTTCGTTGTGACTGCGTTCAGCTGCATACTGAAACTGACGACTCTCATTTGTCTGGGTAGGTAAGAACGTTTTATGATCTCAGGTTGCTTTCTTTAGGTGCTCTTGTCCGGCATATGCGGTTGACAGGGATTCCTTTGTCCTGTAGTAATTCCATGGTCAAAATATATTGGAAAAGACATTGTTGCGTTTTAGTATCAGGTAGAATATTCCAAGCATAAGCAATTAGAGGGACAGTGTAGATCATTCTACAGCGAAAACCGCTAGACGTGCGCACTGCCACAGTGGTTTTAGGTTCTAATGACCGGTTGTCAAGGGTATTCAAATACAACACCTGTGCACAGAGTGTTTTGTTAACCATGTCCGGAGTTAGGAGCGGCTGCACTCAGTTGATGACGTACCCCGGTACGTTGAAATGATAACTGTTCAATGGCACAAATTGTTTTGCCGTTAGGGGTAATATGGGGCACAGAGGCGCTGCAGGCGTGTCTACGATCGCAGAGCATACCGAGCCCTTCGGCTGGGAGAAGCGAACGTTAACAAACACCCCAGCCGAAATCGAGCTGTCATGCATAGATTGCAGGGCAAGGTCAAAGGAATAGAAGCCGTTCGAATGTGAAAACTGAATCTTAGCCATACACCGCAGCCGCAATGAAGTTGTCATGCGTCGATCGATCGGTAGTCGACCTTCACGCAGGTGAAAAGCCAGCAAAATGATTCCCTTCGAAGTGGTTAGTTGGTCGCATTGCTAGCAAACGGGGACAAACAGCCTAGCCGTATGTGAGCACCGATCAATGGGCGCCGTATTGCTGTTGCCACAAAAGCTGTTATCGCCTCATTACTGGGTTCCTACAAACCCGTAAGCTTTTAATAGGCTGCTTTCGCTGCTAAAGAGAATCATAATGCCAGAAGCATATCTTAAGGTTACAGTGTTGCTCGCTGTACCGTTTCGAGCGCGTGTGTATTAAAGCTGAAAAGCCACCCTTCATGGGTGCATAAAAACGAATTTTTGACTTGAATTGACGTGAAAATGCTCTTAGATTTTAGTCTGCTCCAAAGCACTGGTAGCACCAGTGGAAAGCACATTGATTCAGTTTGTGCCCCACATCACACCTACTGGCCAAGCAATTTGTGCCATTTGACAGTTATTTCAGCGTACCGAGGTACATCATCACTGTTGAAGCTTAGCCATAGCATCTAATTAATGAGCCAACTAATAGAAACGGTTGGATTGCTGTCAGAATTGTTCATCTTTCCGAATTGATCAGTCAAGGAAAACTTCCGCCCTATGCGATTTCTGCGCATACGTTGTCCATTTACAAAAAGCGGCTTGCTGTTGCTTGATACCATTCGTATTCTGATGGGTAATGTCAAAACACGAACAAGCACTGCTCACTAATCTCCAGAAATTCGGAGTAGACACATTTGTATGTGTTATGGTATGTATTATGACCAGTCCACATATATGCGATTTTGCTGGCGGGAACACGCTTTCTTTGAACTCATGTATTTCACGCAAACCATCATGCGCTACTTATCATGCCTAAAGATTTTCACACATAGAACATTGTTGTTCCACTGTTCAACTAAAGGCTCGTGAATGGCATTCCGGAATCAGTATCCAATAACTGAGAGCTATTTTAGAGTTTTCGCACAAAAACCATGGAACATTGCATTTCGATTGGCAAAAAGCAAAGCTAAGCTGGTCAAGATGTCTACTGAAAGCTCCTAAGTATTAGTAGTGATAGATAGAGCGCGTATAGGGATCCATCGTGATTTCTACAAAAGCACAAACGCAGTCTTGCTTGCCTACTCATTGTAGAATGTTTAGTGGACACCGTTGTTTGCGTTACATCTTCCTTCGACGATTATGGGCTGTATCACTTGGTGAAAAAGATGTAAGACGTCGCAGAATATTTTGTAAACGGGAGAAATTTTGGTGCAAACATGGTACAAGCCTGGTAAGCGTTATGCAGCATGCGAGTTCCAGTAAACCTCATTTTACGACTCTCCAAAGCCGTTTGTTTGACTCGAGTTACTCTAGCTGGCGTTTCCCCAAGTTATTCTCGTGGTCATTTTACAGAATGTAGCCATAAAGGTGACGTAAGTTATTCAGGATATACTGAGTTATCATGAGTTGTGTTGAATCGGGTACGTGCCATGTAGGTCTAGTCACCTACTACCTGGGAGGAGTTTGTTAAATCTACCAGGTGTAGGGTGGCGCAAGGCTCGTGGTGCACAGAAGTTGACTTGGCAGCGGGAAATGAAGTCACTGACGACCAAACTTGGTGCCGTTGGTCCGTCTCGCCTTCCGGGTTGGAGTCCACGTGACTCACCTTGTACTTGGCTCGAGACTTTACAGGACGTGCCTCGTAACCGATACCAGTGGCGCGTCTGATGCCGTCTCCTAATCAGATTGCCTGTTTAAAGTGTGTTTGGTGCTGAGTTATCTGCTGGGTAATGGCTGATTATGACGCGGGGCAGTGAAGGCCGCAAGGAAGCTATCTCGCCGATGCTGCCTTATCTTTGCACGATAGCCAGCTGTTTGCGACGGTATGTTGTCTACACAAGGTGTAGGCGCCTTGACCCTGAATGTTTGCTTAGGGCATTAAGGTTTTCAGGTAAGTCCCCCTTCTCTCTCTCTTCTTATTCTTTATTTCACGGGTCCTCATGGTTGTATGGCAGCGGAGCATCAGTTCAAATGGCTGATGTACTGCTGTTGATGATGATGATGATGATGATGATGGCTTTCGTCAGGTTGGTCTGCTTTCCCCGTTTTTGTCCAATTTCGTCGTGGACTTCATCATGGTGTGTTACCTGGCGGAATCTCACGATCTAGGCGCTGAGGTCGTGCCTGGTGAAATGTTAGTTGATCTTGATTATGCGGACGATATTATCCTGCATTTTAAAATGTTGGGGTGGCGCAATCAACTCTGAATGGCTTCTGGAGTGATCGCATTATTTGGTATGCTCTTCGCACCTTCAAAGTGCAAAGTGTTATTACAGGACCACCAAGCACTTGATGATCCCTAAATTCTTGATAAGGAGGAACTCGAGCTGATTGATCGATTCACTTACTTTGGAAGCTGCATCAGCAATGCTGCGCGCATAGAAAGTGAAGTCAGTTCACGCATTGCAAAAGCCAGAACTTCCTTCTTGAACCTGCGGCATCTTTGGCGACAGGGGAGAGTTTTCATTTGTCTGAAAGGCCATGTATGCAAAGCCATATTGAGGGCCGTTTTGCTCTGTGGTAGTGAAACATGGTGCCTTTGGTCTGAAGATCTGAGGCACCTTCAAGCTTTGCTCATCGTTGCCCGCAAAGCAATTCTGGTGTTGGATGGAGCCAGTATGTCCGCAAAGATGTTCTGCGTAGCCGAGTAGTAGGTAGAGATAATAATGCTATCTCCTTGGAACAACAGATAGTACTGAATAAGTTGTTCTGGCCTAGGCACGTGCTACTTAGGAGGATCTCGTTTAGTATGCCAGGCGTAGGGTGGCGCAAGGCTCGAGGTGGATAGAAATTGACTTGGCAGCGGGAAATGAAGTCACTGACGACCAAACTGGGTGGCGCCGGTTTGTCTCGCCTTCCGGCCTGGAGTCCACGGAACTCCAGTTGTGCTTGGCTTGAGACTATTATAAGACATGGCTCGCAACCGACACTAGTGGAGCGTTTACTGCCGTCTCCTAATCGGATTGCCTGTTTAAAGTGTGTTTGGTGCTGAGTTATCTGCTGGGTAATGGCTGATTATGACGCGGGGCGGTGAAAGCCGCAAGGAAGCTGTCTCGCAGATGCCGCCTTACCTTCGCACGATAGCCAGCTGTTTGCGACAGTATGTTGTCTACACAAGGTGTAGGCGCCTTGACCCTGAATGTTTGCTTAGGGCATTAAGGTTTTCAGGTAAGTCCCCCTTCTCTCCCTCTTCTTATTCTTTATTTCACGGGTCCTCATGGTTGTATGGCAGCGAAGCATCAGTTCAAATGACTGATGTACTGCTGTTAATGATGATGATGATGAGTTGTCACAAATTCACCTGGGCATCTTACAGCGGTTATCCTAGGAGTTTCAGACTATGTATGGATGTCAGGTGACATAAACACATCATGGTCCCAGCTACTCTTCAATATGTGGTCTGATATGTTTGCCAAACTTGGATGACGTATCGTAACTAAATCCAATTACACGTAGTGCAATGGTAGGGAAGATGAGAACGGAAAATCATTAGTTAAGACCGCAGAGGAGAAAGATTTTCCAGTTTGAACTTCATTCACGGCATTGTCAATTGATTGATTGGTCGAGCGTACAACGAATTGTTGCGCTAAGCCATGCTACTGGGCGACTATAAGCAAATATTTTCTATAGGCATATACCTATCATTTAGTTGATGAATTATGGGAATCGAATTGCAGTTAACAGCACCAAACTATAAAGCGGCTCTCTTTGCTAGGGCATATACTCACATTAGATTTCGCTGGGGTAATTCATGGAATTATAAACTACTAAAAATAATGTACGTCGATAATATGCACGTTAGTGACAGCGGTCGAGTACTGAACATAGTGCAAGACCGAAATCTCCCTTAGTCGGATTGGACGGTGACCTTCGAGATAGCACCTACAGTCAAAAATTGATGCAATTTAAGGATCCTTAGAATATGGACCCTCCGTTCCATAGATTTGAATATATCTCAGGATAAAGCGGTAATACAGCCAGGCAACCTCTTCTGCAAAAGGATAGACGCATGCCTTACACACCGTGTGCCATACATAATTGGAAAGCTGGTATTTCATTTCCGAAGTAAACGGAAGCACTGCTATTGTGTTTGCTTACTCATGATGGTTCGATAC